ATAAATAAATCATTTTAATTTATATATCCTAAAAATTTAATAAAATTTTGATATGTTTTTAAAAAATTTTATTAGTATCATATTTTTACTTACTATGTAAATCTGAATTTATTGCACAAATCATATAACAAATGATCTACATGTACTCTACCCTTAAACATTTATGCCATGATTCAAGCATATTAGTAGTATTTATTTTATTATGAGGAATTTCAGTTCAGTATGTGCTCATCCATATCATTTTATTAATACTAGACAAATTACCTTGCTCATCTAGCTCATTTAACCATTGATATCTAAAATAGGTGATAAATGTTGTAGCTTTTTTCTACTTTTCTAAAAATATAGCCAACAATCTTTTAGCAACATTTATATTACCAGTATACATTAAATATCTCAAATCAGTAAACAATTCATCTTCTAATACCCTTTTTTTACATGACTTAAGTTTATGTTCTGTGGAATTAGTTTTTTTTTATAAACCTTTTTTAGATTATTCCTCCAAGCCCACATGACATGCTACCAACAAAGTAATATTCTACTTTCTGGAAATACAATATGAAGAGCTTTTATTTGTATGAGGTTAGAATCTACCATAAATGCTACAAGGCCTCTTTAATCAGAAATTTGAATTCGAAGATTATTTAGCCAATATTGAACTAAATTAAAATTTTTATTGAAAGATAAAAAGTAAGCAAATGTAATGCCTTTTCCAGTTTTTGGATCAGGCAAAAGGAGCATATATAATAGATCATTATGTTTATTTGTCCTGTAAGTTGTATTAAGAAGAATAACTAAAGCATTACAAATAATTTTTTTTCCTGAAGGAATTATAAAGCTGAAAAGCATACCTATATTATTATCATGATAATTATCCAATCATTGGACTGCACAAGTAAAATCACATTTTTGTTCAAGTTCAAGTCTTACAATTCAATGCTCTTTTCTTCAGATTTATGTTTTATTTGGTTTTCTAAAATTATTTCTATCATGTGTTATAAGATTATACCGAATTTGAAAAGCATTATTTCTATTCTGCTGATTCCACATATTTACCATATCATGAGCATATTTTTTAAAAAGCTGATTAATGCCTTTAACATTTAATCTGTCTTGAATGCACTCAGCAATCTAATCATGAACATCTTTTGAGAGCTTCAAGGTTTCAATATCACTATCTGAACCTGAAATGTGGTTAGTATGTGAGATATATTTTATAAATGTTTGTGGTTTACTAAATGTGTGTTTTGTTGTAATAATTATTTGTGATTTACAATCATATTTTTACTTTCTTTTTGATTGGGTCTTGGTTTTTTATTAGAATAGCTTTGACCTGCTATAGTTTGATAAGTTCCTGAATGATGACATTTGTAAGTAGTTTGCAAAATGATATTTCCAATATCTTTTTCTATTTTGTGCCTAACATAAGTTGTGTTAGTTATTTTATCAAACTCTTGTACCCATTCATGACAATCTGTATTCAATGGAACAAGATATTCAACCTCTTCAATTGACCTATTATGATCAGAATTTTCATTGTATTCAATTAAAGAAGAGATCCTATAAATTGATCAAAATAATCAAATAATCCCTCCAAACTTGCTTCATAGTTATTTGTACAATCCTCGACATTATATTCAAAAACTTGAGTAGCTTGCATGTTATAGTAAGTATATTTTTATGAGATTCTTTTTTGTATACTGTATTTAAAAACTCTAATACAAATTTATTGAGAAATTACAATCTTTATATATAGATACAAACATTTAATAAATTGTATAAAGGTTTTGAATAATAATTACAATACATTTGTTATTTTCTATTTTCAGATTTATATACTAATAATAACTATTTAATTCTCTTAGATGCAATATAATGTACAATAGATTTTTGTTATACAAGTTTGGTAAGTGTTCTTTTGTTAATTTTCTCCTTTGATTAATATGACTAATAATATTCATCTTATCCTTATTCTATCTAAGTTATCATATTATGTTTCACTTTTCATATAAATGTAGCATTTAATACAAACTTAGCAAAGTTAAAACTAACACATTCAATTAGTACTAATTGGTTAATTTTATTAGTTAGTTTCACTTTAGTTAGATTTATGCATTAGCATAATATAATTAATTTTGTTTTAATTAATTCATATTTAAGCTAAAGATATTATCTTTATAAAACATACAGTTGTCACTCTTTAAACTGAGCTAGCATAAACTAAGCACTTAATTCGGTAAGCTAAATTTCAAAACTTCAAAGCAAATTATTTAAACAACAAACTTTTATAAGACCTATAAGTTTCAGTATAGATAATGCTAATTGTACACTAATATACTTAATGAATCTTATTTAAACCTAAAGTTAGTGATGGGACCTTCAAGTTTTTAGTTAATAATAAAAATATTAATAATTAATTATTAATAGTTAGTAATAATTAAGAATTTTGATTATTATTAATAATTTCTATGTGATCACATTAAAAACTGCATATTAATTAATTGTATGCAAAAAATCGTAATGAAATCAAGTTTTACAATACATAGATAAATTGGCTTTTGATTATTATAAATTTTTATACTTTTTTATATAGTTTTAAATTGATTTACTAAGCCATACATTATTAAGTAGCTTTTAGTTAATAACTTAGCTAATTATTAATAATTAATTATTAATAATTTAAGAGGTCTCATTGCTATCTGAAGTAATTTTTAATATTTATAATAATGAATTCTGCTTGAAGCAAACTTGTTAGCAAATATATTAAATTGCTTGTTTGCACACACTTATCATAGATTTATAGATACAATTGAATTTAATAAATTATATATATTGTACAATAAAGTTTATTAAATACACGAATATTTATAAATTTATTTTTATTTTTTGAAACCTATTTTAATAATTGATTAAAATAAAACTATAATGACAGATGCCAATGCAAGGATTATTTCTGAAACATTTAATTGTTTAGACTTTTTTTCTATTAATTTTAAAACAATTAGTAAATAAATTGTATACATATTAAAATTTTTATCTACATCTTAAATTATTTTTGAATTAATCTAATTTAAAAAAAACACAAGCTAAGTTAATTGTTTCTTATGAAATTTTATAAGCTATTTGCTATAAATACTTCCAAGTAGGTTTTAAAAAAAAATTTTTTTTTTGTGAATTTTTAAAATTTAAAGCTTGTAAAAATCCAGGTCTAAAATTCATAGAAGAAACATTAATTAATATTGCATAGCCTAATATATTGCTGATCATTTCCAAATAAGGTTTGTGTTATATGCACAAATAAGTATTCACCAAGAATGCTATTGAAAATAAGATAATTTCAAAGTAATTCAAAATATAGAATACTACTGAAATTAAGAAAAACACCAATGTGATTTAAATAAGAATGCTACTAGTAAAAAACAGTAAAGAGATCCAAGAAACTGAAAATAAAAAAGTTCCAAGTACAGAAATAAAAGATCTTTAATTTATTTTACTCTTTTATCAGATCACAGCTTAGATGTTGTTACTATGTTGCCTGACAATTTGCATCTAAGATGTGTTAGCTGTAATCTAAGGCAGATGTTAGTCTAAGATACAATATATATAAATAAAAAAATAAATCTTTTTTTTAGTACTTATTTTATTAATTTTCTTATATTTTGCTAATTTTATTATTTTTTATTTTTTAGTAGTTTTGTCAATTTTGACAGTTTTACTAATTTTATCATTTCATCATATTCAATTTTTTTTTAATGAAAGTTGAAACTAGTTTCAATTTTTATCTTTTGCAAAACCTCTAAATTTTACTTAACAACACTAAGTCTGTATGATGATAAAATTAACCTAAGACCATATTTTACTTAGGACTGAAAATTATATTTTACAAATTTACAATACATATAATTTCATAGAATATATAGTATCAAGAGATAACAACTTGCAGTTTCTCTAAAAATTCTGCATAGAATTCATTAATTTACTTAATAAGGATCATGATTTCTTTACTAAAAATTTAAGTAATTTTGTCTAAATTTTTGTTCATTACTATTGGCCAATCAAATAGTGACTTTCCACGTATTTTTTGCAAGGTTTATTATGGTTTGCAAATTGATGTAACTTTTGATCAAATTTGTAGATTTTTGCATATCTGATTGTCAGTTTTATATGATTTTATATGATTTATGCAATTTTCTAACAATTATTTGATCAAATTTAATGAAATTTTTTTTATTTGAATTTTATGAATATATTGAATCCAAATAAAAAAAGATTCATTAAATTTGATCAGATAGTTACTAAGATATCATCACTCAAAGTTGTTTTTTAAAATATCAAAAATAGAAATTATACCAAATTTTCCTAAAGTTTGAGCAAAAATATTTTAGTAACCATCTGATTAAATTCAATAAATTTTTTTTTATTTGAATTCTATAGATCCACAGAATTCAAATAAAAAAAAATCATTGAATTTAAACAGATGGTTACTGGGATATCTTTATTAAAAATATTATTAAAACTCTAAATTTCTCTAAAGTTTGAGTAAAGATACTTTAATGACTATCTGACTAAATTTGATGAATTTTTTTTTAATTTGAATTCTATGAATTCAAAGAATTCAAATAAAAAAAATTCATTGAATTTGATCAGATTATTACTGAGATATATTCACTCAAACTTTTAGAAAAAATTTGGCTCAACTTCTATTTTAATTGATGTTTTGATATTTTTAATAAATTTTGAATAAATATATCTCAGTAACTACCTGATCAAATTTGATGAATTTTTTTTTATTTGAATTCTATGAATACATAGAATTCAAATTAAAAAAAATTTATCAAATTTAATCAGATAATCATTGAGGTATCTTTGCTCAAGCTTTAGAGAAATTTAGAGTTTTAATGATATTTTTAATAAAGATATCCCAGTAACCATCTGATCAAATTTGATGATTTTTTTTTTTTGAATTCTGTAGATTTATAGAATTCAAATAAAGAAAATTTTATCGAATTTAATCAGATGGTTACTGAAATAACTTTGTTCAAACTTTAGGAAAATTTGGTGCAGCTTCTATTTTTGACATTTTAAAAAACAACTTTGAGCGATGTTATCTCAGTAACCACCTGATCAAATTCGATGAATCTTTTTTTATTTGGATTCAATATATCCATAAAATTCAAATAAAAAAATTTTTCATCGAATTTGATCAGACAATTGTCAGGAAATCGCATAAATCACATAAAATCACATAAAATCGACAACTGGGTATGCAGGGATCTACAAATTTGATCAAAAGTCACATCAATTTGCAAACCGTGATAATAGCAGTAATTACATTAAGAACGTCCTTGTTAAAGGTTTCATCTGATCCAATTTTTGTAAGATGATTCCAAATATTATTATTACTACGCATGTTATTTTATTTTTACAAGAGTGACTTAATCATAAAGAATATTTTTGTAATAAATAAACATAATTAGGAATTAGCTAAATATATTAATGCAGGTCAGATATTATATTAATGCTAGCTAGATATTATGGTAATGCAGGCCAGATAATCTTATTTCGGGATCATATTAAAAATCCCGCGTGTGCCTATCTCTAGTGCCTGCATAGATTTCTCCCGTTCCTGGTTTTGCGCGACAACATTACAGCTACTTATTAAATAAATCGAATGTTTTAAAATTACATATAAATTCATTATATCGAGGAGAGGTTATCAAGTTTGAAAATATTAGATTTATATAAAAGAAACAGATTTAGTAGAACAATTTTTTATCAGATTTGACAAGTAATAGATTTTGAAAGAATCGGTCTTGAGAGGTTCAACTATAGTTGCTGGTGAAATTTAATATAGCAGCCAATCAGATTTTAGATAGCCACCAGTTTCACCAGCATCTATAGTATAATAGAACTAGAAATGCCTGCTGCAATTTTGCGTCTTTTTAAAATTAGCTGCAACCTTTGCGAGCTCCTTGTTTTTTACTGCAACAAATGTAAGATCGCAGAGTCACAAGATCGAATGTCTATGTAATTATCGTTATTAATAAATTGATGTTATCTTTGTAATGTTGTTTTAAACAAAAGCACTTCCTGTTACTGTTACACTCGAACTACCTCATATAAGTTCGGCATAACGGTTTTACTTTAGAGACAGATATGTTAAGCAATTGATAAAAATGCCGTGTTTATGCTTAAGTAAAGTATAAGGTTTATTGCGGTTACGCTTATGATTTGCAATTACGAAAAAGGCAAACGGCTAAATTTATATGAAGATACAAGCAGTCGTATAATAAGCTTATGATTTATTTAATAAAGTGTTCGAATTTATTTGTGTATGAAAACACTATTACTCTTTTATTTATTAGTGTTGAGTTGTTAACTATCGATTCCTGGTGGGAAATTGGGTTATTTATACATGATCTTTGGTTATAAGGTATTATATTCCTCGATTATACTAGATTTATGTGGTAATTTCCGTAATTCATCCAATTTTGCCTTTAAAAAATGGTTAATTATATACACTGCATCAACTAAAAAAAGTTATATAGAAAAAAAAGAGAAAATAAATACCTCTTTAAATTGACAGATTTTATCAGCCAATACATGACAATTATTAAATCTAGCAAGCTTTATTGCACTTTCCAAAGATTTTAATGTATTCATTAGTTTCGCTAAATCTAACGCTCGTTGTTGTTTCTCTTCTTTACAAGCCAACTGCAATTTGAATCAATTGAATTAGAACTTTAGAAAAAATAAAAAATAAAAAATAGAAAGTAGATAAAATAAATGATACAAACATGCATCATTTCAACTAATGCTTTGTCCATGTCTTTATTTTTCATTTTGATATTTTGTCGTACTTTGTCTAACTCATTCATTGCCATGGCTTCTTCAAATTCAAAACTCGTTATAATAGACAATCGTACAAATCTAAAAATAATTCTAGATTAGTAATGTTTCACGTGATATAAAAATTAAAATATCAAATTTAGAACACATACTTTTCTTCAAATTGACCAGTTGGCCTGTCTAAATTCCAAAGTGGAATTTTCCAACTAACCTCATCGAAAGCTGGTCGAGGAATATGAGGATAGGTATCTCCACCCTTCATAAAATATATATTCGATTAATATGAATAAATATGTGGTATAGAATTTAACATTTTAATAGTCACCTTGCAAATGAAACAAAAAAGGGTTGTTCCAGTAAGCCAAACAGGCCAATAAATCCAATTTATTTCTTCCTCTTTACGATTAATTGAAACATCAAGAACCGGTACCCATCTTGCTTGGTTATGTTGGCGGTGATGGTGAAGGATACTAAGAACACCCTTCGAATCAAATATTGATGGCAGCTAAATGTGGAAGTAAATTAATGCATTAAATTACCTTTATAATATCAGAAAAGGTATTTTAAAAAGTAGGTTAAATTTATTACTCCTTCTGTGGAAAATCCTATCCATTGTAAAGTTGATCCTTTAGATACTGGTATGGTATCCTTCTGTAAAATCTCGTGGGATTGAACATTATATAGCATATATCCGAGGTTCTGTGACCCTAAAATTAATAACAGAAAACGTTAAACATATATCAAGAAATTAATATATATGTATAAGATTATTAGGAAATACCTTTATAACCTACGCCAGAATGATAAACAATAAGAACGAATTCATCGCGCCCCACCATACATACTACAGATTTTAGGGCAAAAATGTATGTTTGAACACCAAAAGGAGAGAAAAACCTTATTACATCTTTTGATGTAGCAGCAATTATCCCTTGAGAACATAAAGCAATGGCTATTTCGCACAGAATAAATAATGAGTTAAGAATTATTATATGCGTGTATGTTGTACCTGGAATAGCTACCATCTGAAGTAACCACTTTAGACATTTAAAGTGGCATCTGACCAGTATTAATACATGAACATTAAATTTTAAAGGCTTAATTTGAACCAAATACAGCTTTAGATTCTAAAGTGGCAGCTTCAAATAGGTAGCTACACAGATGTAACGTGTATTCTACTTTATGATAACTTTATAGAAATATGTAATATATTCATTACCTGTTATATCCTCTCCTTTTGGAAGTGCAACCGTCCACTCGCTTTTTGATGCCCATGTATCTTGTGGCTTGTAAAACAATACGCTTGGATTGGTTTGGGAATTGGATACTTCACAGGATTCTACAGCATAAAGAGCGCCATTTTTATCTATCATGTACAAAATATCATTAGCAACAAAAGAAGTAATTCTATTTTAAATTGAATATAAGTTAAAATAATACCTAAACAAGCCATAGAATAATTAAATTCATCTCGAAGGTTGTAACCACGATTATGAGATTGATCATGAAATTCCACGGTTATTGTTGAATGAGTCTCGTGAAACACAGTAGTTATGCATCCGATATGATTCATAGCTACACAATCGACATTATCATATATATTGTATTATGAATATATACTAATAGAAAAGTATCTTTGCAAACCTAAATATCTTCGATTATTATTCTCGGGAGTTGCTCCAGGTTGAAAGGGTTCCTGGGGTTTAGTAATAATCTCTGAATTTAATAAATAAATAGGTAATTAATTAACTATTTATTTAATTAATTGAATTTTATAATTTCGTAAATCATAATTAAGTTTATTATTATTAACGGCTTTGGTCATCAATTTCGGACACCCCTATCATATTTTTAATTGATTTTTATTATTTGGCTGGGTACGTTCTTGATAGAGTGTCCAAAATTGATGACCAAAATCGATATTATTATTATTCCCAGTATCGTTAAAAACACTTGCCATCAATTCGCTTATCCTTATCCCTCCTTCCTCTTTCGTAAATAAATTGATTATCATCATCAATATCAATTTTATCTGGTTCAGGAATTCCAACATCATCAAGCATATCCCCAGATGACAAAGCTACAAAGTATAACCATCAAATATATTATTAAAATTGCCAGATAACCATTTTATTGATATAAAAACAATATAATATTTACTAATATCCTTTTGTTTTTCACTTTCGATGTCATGATCAATGTCATGATTAATATCATGATTGTTGGCATCAGATAAAACATCCGATATAGCGTCTGACACGACTAAAGAATATTAAAATTTATTAAATTCATTGACTTATAAAAAAAAACGACGTGACATTTTTTTTTCATACCAGTTTCTTGCTCAGAATGTCCTTTATCAGAAGCGTTATGTAAATTATCATTATCATTGTCCTTATCGGTAACGAAAAGGTCTTCGTCACTCAACATATCATCTTGAGATAAGTCAACTACCATATTTGAATTCTGTTAAATGAAAATAGGAAATCACGGTTTGAAATTTTCACTCTACGTTTAAAGGGGTAGCTTTAAAAACGCGTTCACTTCTCACGCTTAAAAGGTAAATTTTACGTAGATCACCAGGGCAGATCTGGCCAATAATAATGGGTCTGCTAAAATCATATCAGATATGCAAACGATAAAAAAAAAATTTTTCACGTTCAATTAAGTCAAAATTTCATTTAGTTTATTAAAAATACTGCACAAATAATATATATACAAAATATTAACAGTGGGGGATTAATTCATGGCATTTAATATTTTATAAGATTGACTGTCAAAGCCTAACATATTAAAATCCTAGCTTGAATCAAGTTTGGTAAAGAATAATTTGATATTACAAGGTATAAAATAAGATAAATTCATAATTATAGGAAAAAAAAACACGATAATATAAAATTTTGCGATAAGATAGTCGAAAAGATAGAGTTGTTCATTGACTGTGTCAAATATGATATTGGAAAAAAATAACAATAACAATAATATGGAATCACTGTTACAAGTCCATGATTAATTTTTTAGGATGCCCTTTATTTGTCTTTAGCAAAGAGATTTACATGATCGAGCATTGGTTGACGGGGTCACCGTCGGGCTTTTCGGTGATATCGAGAGTAGCACCATTGATAGAATGCATGATGGAACATTGATTGACAGGGTCACCATCAGGTTTTTCTGTAATGCTAAGAGTGGTAGTAGAGATGAAAGTTGGATTCATTTTCGTTGCGAGAAGTTTGAAAAGTTTTATTGATTTATTCTTAAAATCCGAAAATTTTGAAGTTTGAGGCTAAAGGAGTAAAGGTCATATTTATAATGAAATTCTGTTTAATATCATGAATTCGTATTAACGTCACAGTACAATTGAACGTTGTAAATACGATTATTATCACTATTTTTTTGCACAATATGACATTAAAATTTTTTATTCATAATTTCGATTGCAAATTATACTACAGAACAATAGAAGTATGCATAAGTCAAAATTTCAATAAATGCTACGTATTTATTTTTTATATGCCAAGCATTAATAATACTTAACATTGTTTTTTTGTTTTGGAAGGGACAATATCTTTACTAATAAGATCAATATTTTTAATTTACGTGATACATCGTGTATAATTAAGTAATACAAACTAGAGTTGCTAGTGAAACTAAATTAAGCTGGTGAAACTGGTGACTATCTAAAATCTGATTGGCTGTTCTAGAAGAACAACCAATCATATTGTAGATAGTCACCAGTTTCACCAGCTTAATTTAGTTTCACTAGCAACTCTAACAGACCAATAAATGTAATAAACAATTGTCTCCAAGCCCGATTGAAAAAAAATGTTGGTAAGACGTAAATTTAGGTCGATCCGTTATAAGTAAAACCTTAAATTTCATTTTATAGAATGTGATCGAATTGATAGAATTTGATACTGAACTTTGCATGGTACTTTTCATTGATTGGACCAATCAGATTGCATGACCGCGCGTATAACGAAAAGATGTAGATAAAACTAGGAAACGGAAACCGTTGTAAAATCCGGAGCACAAAAAAATCAGAGTTACATTCTTGATCTTTTATTAAAATTGCGTTAAAACCGGAATTTTAGGGCCCAGACAATTATTATCGTTATTAAATATGAGGAATTACACAAAAATGACGGATGAGGGCCCAAATTACATATGCGGCCCAAATTATTACAAATTAGGGCCTGTCCGATCTCCGAGCTATGCTGGGCGCCTAAACCACATGACTTATATAGTGTTAGGCAGAAAAAATGGTATGGTTCCGGAAATCTATAATCGCCAATCACGTGAAAGGTTTCAATTTTCTAACCCCCAGTGCGACCAACAAAAAATCTCGGGCACGTGAGTGCTGTGGCTTGTTAATGTGGCTGACATAAGATTTATTCTTGGTAAAATTTAAATACATATTTAAAGTATCGTACTAAACAGAAAGTTTAATAAAAAAAGTTTAATGTATCAATTAATTGAAAGAAAAAAAAAACAAATTGCATTATTTGCCTTTGTTATATTTTTTAATATATTATTATAAAAAAAAACAATATTCATAAAAAATTAAACTTCACTAAAATATGCTTTAATATAAAATTAATTCAACAGAATTAAATAACAGAAAAAAAGTTATTATTACAAATAACGAGTGTTATTAGTATGGTCCTTTCAAGTTAATGGCATTGTTCATTTTCTTTTATATTATTCAATTTTGTTAACTAGCTTAACTAATAGATCAAATAATTTTTTTATTGCATTAATCTATTTTGTATTGCCAGTTGATTTTTGATCTTCTAAAATTACAAGTATTTTTTTGATTTTTTTAATTAAATTATCAAACATTATATTATAATTTTCAAATGATTTTTTATTATTTTTGATTAACTTAATCAATTTACTAATAAACTTGTTGTTCTTAATTTGCTCAACAAATTTATTTTCTCTTAAATTTATACTGATTAAAAAAAAAGAGTAACAGATTCTTTTTATATTAACAAAAAATTCTGCAGTTACATTTGCTTTTCTGTAGATCAAATGCTTATATAAATTAAATCGATTTGTTAAATAATAAGAGCAACCACAGACTTATTGTTCTATGTTTGTTATATATACATTATGATTGTTTATTTGTCACTTAGATAAACTTTTTTATTCATGTTTAAAATCCTTGATCTAATCCAGTTTTTTTATATTAAGATGAATTTGGTTTAACTTGCATCTTTGATATATGATAACTTTTTTTATTAATATATATATTACAAGGTTTATATATAAATAAAAAATTTTATATAAGAAGTCTTATTTAATTATTTTCTAATATCCTTCAATAAATATCATAGTGTTCAATACAAAATCATACTTTTACAAGAAGAACATGTTCACAAAACCCACTTTAATTCTATATATCATTTAATCCAAAAGTATAATCATAATGAAATTAATGATTTATCTTTATAGAAAAAGTACATTTTCTGAACTAACTTATAGTAAATTCCTTTTTAGATAAAAAATTTCTTCATTTGTTAGGATTAGAGAGTATTGGTATATATGTTTTTCTATAATTTGCCAAGTTAATTCTCTATATTCTTTGGAACAAAATTGTGCTATTTGTTGAATTCTGTTAAATGAAAATCTCCTACCCAATTCTGAAAGTGGATTATATGTAGATCTAGTCACTAGTCAAAAACTAGAAATTCGACCAGGTCGAATTACAATAACATTTAGCAAAAAATTAGCCAATTTTTTAATAAAAATTTGGCTATACCAAATTCTACATTAATTCGACCTAACTTAACCAAAAATTTGGTATCCAAATGTTAACAAAATTTGAACATTCCGATTTTTACATTAATTTGACCTAAATTTAGTCAAAAATTCAGACTCTAAATTTTAATAAAATTCAACTATTTCAATTTTTATATTAATTTGACCTAAATTAGTTCTTTTCGATTTCTACATCAAAAAAATGACACCAAATTTTAATAAAATTTAGCATTTCTGATTTCTATTCTCAAATTTAGATGATTATTCAGCCAAATTCGATAAGTTTAAGTTTGGTGTCCGATAGTACTAAATTCGATCAAAATTCAGTGATTATAATTAGCTTTATAATCAAACATTGAATCATATCTGAATATTAAATTAAAGCATATTATAATCAGTTTAATAATCAAAAAATTAAAGGTAGGGTGTACATAGATCATTTTTATATAGTAATGTATGGTATATTAAAATTTTCATCTAAAATTGATATATGTTACTAATAAAACTTTTTAATTTTTTAATTAATTAATAAAAAA